ACGCATGTTTTAACTTGCGCTGTTACGCAGGTTATGTGCGCTGTTATGCACTTATTATCCTGACTTGCGCTGTTACGCAGGTTATGTGCGCTGTTATGCACTTATTATCCTGACTTGCGCTGTTACGCAGGTTATGTGCGCTGTTATGCACTTATTATCCTGACTTGCGCTGTTACGCAGGTTATGTGCGCTGTTATGCACTTATTATCCTGACTTGCGCTGTTACGCAGGTTATGTGCGCTATTACGCACTTATCTTCTTTACTCGCGCTATTACGCATGTTTTAAGTTGCACTGTTACGCATGCTTTTCTTCTTTTAACCTGCGCAGTTACGCATGTTATGTTTTACCTTGCGCTGTCACGCATGTTTTAACTTGCGCTGTTACGCATGTTTTACTTGTTCTATTTGCACTATTACGCATATTTTACTCGCGCTATCACACACATATCTTGCGCTGTCACGCACACACTTTTATCCTGTGCTGTCACACACTTCTCTTTAACTTGCGTTGTCACGCATGTTCTACTTGCGTTGTCGCACACTTTTCACTTGCATTATTATGCATGTTTCTAATAATATTGTACCTGTTGAGTTTCTTTCTTTTACAGGCATGATATTATATGAAGGGAGAGGGGTGTCCCTCCCCTATGCAAGACTTCAAACCACCTTCTTTATCACTGAAAATCAACTGGTTTTTAGTGGTGAAAGGACCAAAACACTGAAGTGAACAAACCCTTACCAAAGAGGCACCAAAATGGACCAAACAAGGCTTAGAAGGGGGAGTTTACACTCAAACCACAAAATGACCTTAATGAAAGTTCTAAAGCATGAGAATACAAGCCTTTTTCATGTTATACACAAAAGCTAAATCAACAAGCAAGATAGGTAAAAGACTATTGCAAGTTTGGGGAATATAAAGCAAGATGCTCACCCTTGAAGAACCTTTGAAGAACAAATGGTCCAGCCCTCTTCTTTTGATCAAAATCAGTCCAAAAACTCAAGAATCAACCCCCCAAGTCCCTCAATCTCGGAGCTAGGTGTAATAGTGTGTGTAATGGTGCAAAAGTAAGGTAAAAACACACTTTTGGGCCAAAAATCACACACAAAGGAGGAGAGAGAGGAAGATATAGAGATAGGATATATCTATATCTCTAAGCTCTGGTTTTTGCTTCTAACTTTCTAACCTAGATCAAAGAGGAAGGCCCTTCCTCTTATAAGACTCCCTCTTGCAAAGCTTATACAACAAGCTTGCTTAGAGGGAGATCCCTAAATACACGTGTATGGAGGGAGGCAGAGTTGGTGCCAGCTATGACAGCTGGCACAAAATATCTCCATAAAGTGGATGAACAGTGGTCGGCTGCCCAAAAAAGTTCTTTCGACAAAAAAGAGTGCCGACCGGCAACAAACTATGCGGACCGGCAATAAAATGTGCCGACCGGCAACAAATAGTGCCGGTGGCAGAAAAAGACCAGCCGGTGGCCTCTGGCCACTGCCGGTGGTGTGTGGGGATGCCTCACAAGGCATTCCCTGCCCTTCCAAGGCAAAGAACAAGTGTTCGGTTTGAAACCAGACACTAAACGGTCGAGTTCGGAGATCCTAAGGTAGGACGCGCGAGCCGGGACCTCCGGGAACTCCAAACAAACACAAACATGGATAATCACCGAGTGTTCAAACGGTGACGTCCAAGTCTTGAGGACGGCCAAAAATGGGGTGTCTACACCTAGGTGAGCTTTTCTTACGCCAGAGCAGATAGTCCTGGTTCACCCTCCCGAGGATATGAGTGAGACCGAGAGGCTCACCACTGAGCAGATGGACGATTACACCATCGGTTGGGAGGCGACCCGCTTCAGAGGCATCGGCGACTACCGAGAGTATGTGCAAACGTACATTATGCGGCCTCTGAGCGGCGGCTGTCGGGTTGAGGGAGCTAGGCCCGTGGCGCCAGCGGCTAGGGCCGGAGCAGGAGCTGGAGCTAGAGCTTCGAGGAGGGCCCGAGTCCGTGGCAGGGGCGGAGTTCAGGAGGGACGGGGGACCGGTTGGCCTGTTCTGCCTACTTCACTGACTTTCCGAGGGCAGGGTGGGGCGACCTATCAGATCCCCTTCGCCCCTCCGCCAGCTAATCACGAGTTTGTCGGTGTCCCCGACTTACCTCCGGTATGTATTACTGCATTTCTGTACAGTCATTTCATTTCAGTTTATTTCATATTCCACAGAATATTGATGCATCTGATACTTTTGCAGGCTTCTTCTGCGTACACCCGACAGTCATTGGAGATGAATGCCTCCATGATGGGGATGTTGCAGCGGACCTTTGATCTCCTGGCCCTCTATAGCATTCCAGTATGTTCTTCTGATCACGGCCTCAGATCACTCACAAGCTGATTCACGTAATCTGATGCATGACACAACACCTGATATACTGATCTCACAGCATCTGATACACTGCATGCACTGCATTCTGCACTGTACTCTGCACTGATAAACTGCTCACGGCATTCACACACTGTACTCATACACTGCATTCTGCACTGATAAACTGTCCACGGCATACATCGCATTCTGCACTGATAAACTGCTCACGGCATTCTTGCACTGTACTCATACACTACATTCTGCACTAATAAACTGCCCACGGCATTCTTGCACTGTACACTGCATTCTGCGCTATACTCTGTCCACGGTATACTGATGCATTTGCCTTTTGTGTACTTTTTCAGCCTCCCTTCCAGATTCCCGGGGTAGGAGGTGCTTCAGCTGGACTTTCCGTCCCTGCCCGAGGGAGAGATGAGGAGGGCCGAGTATTCCCCTGCACCAAGGCGTGGCGCACTTATGCCGGGAGCAGTTCGCGGGCTCCCATCCCTGATGATGATGACGGGTCAGAGGCGGAGGCAGAGTCGGAGGCAGAGTCGGAGGCAGAGTCGGAGGCGGAGTCATCGGAGGAGGAGACCGGAGGCGGCACTAGCTCGGGCTCTGACGACGATGCTGATGATGCTCCTGGACCTTCGTCCAGGAAGAGGACTAGGACAGACCGATAGTCCTCGGAGTCGCTGGACACGGATACAACTTTTTGTTATTTTTCTTCTTCTTTGTACTTTTCCCTTTTTGTTGGTAGTTAGATTACCTTGTACTGCCACAGGCAGATTTTTGTTTTCCTCAAAACTTTGTACTTGAAAAAAAGATTATGAAATGAACAAAATTTTTTTGCTTAAAAAGTCTTACATTTACATATCTCATGTATTGTATCGCATCACATCGTGTTACACTTTAATGTAAACGAAATTGATTTGTTGTCTGAATGATTGAGCACTTGCACAGTGGTAATCGGATAACCAAACAGCCAACAGCAAAATAACCCAAGCAACCCGCTGCCTGATTCTGGACACATAGCCCTTTTACTCTGTTGGGGATTAATCTGCATACAGCCCATAACACAGCATTCGGTTCATTCTGCACACAGCAAACTTTAGACACAACAGCCCAATCTGACAAGACGGCCTTCAAAGGTGAAACCGGCTAGGGTTGAAACATGCTCAGATGCCCCAAAATTTTTTCTTCTCCTTTTGCTTCGCACAGATGTAGAGAATGGCACAGCATCCTGAGCCTAAACGATTTTTGAAATTGAATAAGGGTTTTTCAAACCGGGGTATCAAGCCTACAACTGAACATAGCGGGGAGGACTCAAACAAAAGGGTGCACGACCTAAACATAACGAGACACGCTCGGAAAAGACCTAAAACACAGGTTGAGGTCGACAAATCAAAAAGACACGATACACAGGCGCGTCAACGAAAATGGGGGACCTCAGATCACGAGGAGCCAGTTTCTCTAGGTATCGTTTCCCACCATTTTCTCATTTGTGATTCTCCTATCACTCGGCCCTCAGGCTCGTTTTTTCTCTTAAAACCCTTTTTCCTCACTTTTCTCTCAACTTACACCTCTCTATTCTTTATTCTCTCGTTTTTCGTCCCTCCCCAGGGTGATTGATGGATAAATAGGAAGGTGTGGGTTCATGCTCAACACCGTTAGCTCACGGCTATTTCTTCTGGCGGGCAGAGTGCCCTTCTGGCAAGTATGTTAACGACGGGGGGGAGGAACAGAGCGCCTGGCATCAACTGCGCCCTCAGTTCATCACTTTAACCATTCTTGTTTTTACTTTCTACTAAAACAGTTTTGATCAAAATGAGAGTCGGATTAACGTACTTGTTCGATTTTTGATTTGAAAATCATGCAAATCAGGCTGTAAGCACTGAAAATTTTCCCTTTTTGGGTCTGAGACAATGGTCCAGTTTTGGAAAATGAAATAGTTTTCGAGAAAATAGTCAACCTCAGTAAAAATTTTCAAAAACTATTTTGCAAACAGTCAATGCTCAACGAGCATGGAACTTACTCTTTGAGATGCGCAACCTTGGATCAGAGGCAATGGAAAATTCCCCCTGCCTTAAAGGGGGTGGATGGCAACGGAAAGTTGCCCCTGGTTTGAATGACGACTCGCGACGGCTCGTGGCAACGGAAAGTTGCCCCTTGTTTGGATGATGCCACAGCAGTCCGCAAACAGTCTTCATTGGCGGTGGTCGAGCTCTTGGACACAGAGATGACGAAGACGGTCACAACAAATATATGGACACAGTCACCTTGGAAGGTGTTGACGACTGGAGTTTGGGATGAAATCGGAACCATTGCATGGACTGAGACGCTATGAAAGCGTTGGGGGCTGGACTTCATGATGAAGTTGCCTACGTATTC